CTGATGGGAAAACTACATAGGGTAGGTAGGTAAAAATCCCAAAAAAGAAAACAGAACTGCAGTGCAACAAGTGCTGCAATTGTTGCTTATTCCATTTATTATTTATTTGTAATTAAAATTTGAAGCGGTCGCACTGCAACGCGTCGCTTGTTCATGAATATTAATTTCGATTTTAAGGCCGCAAACAATGCAAACTAAACATGAATTACAACTAAATATTTATAACTCATTTTGCGAAGCACACAGAGAAACATTCTCGTAGATAAATAATAGACAAAGTTAAATAAAACGGATTTGCAGTGCGAAAATACACAAAAATTAACTTGTATTTAAAATTTAATTAAAACTTTTGCTGTTATTTACATGTCCCCCCTTACTGTTTTGTTGTGCAAATAGTTTTTGTTTTTCATTTTGTTTGGTGTTTTTTTTTTTTTGGGGGGGAAGGAGTGAGAAAAGCATCTAAAATGTGGCCAAAACTGTGCGCATTCGATGGAATCATAATGCATTACATATGCATGGCCATCGGCATACGAGTTTAATTGAAATATCGCGAACAATTTTTGGTTTATCGCATCGCAGTTCAAATAAAAATGCTAAATAAAAACGCTTTGGCCACGCCGGAGGCGGCTAAATGAAGGGGTTTTTCTGGCCATGGCTAACTGGTTGTTGCGGCTTTTGGCATTTAGCATAATTAGTCCTTTTGACCGCATTTTACGAAATGCGGTCTAAAGGGGGCTGTAGCCCCACCCCAAAGCCCCCTACCATCCATAGTGACCATATTCAAACAATGACCAAAATCGGGAGTAATAAAAAAAAGTAATGGTTTAATGTGGAAAAACTGAATTCGTAGAAAAAATAAACACTCAAGCTTAAAATGAATTATAGGGCTCTTGGTGTAGTTTATATAGAAACTTTTAATACTGAAATAAAGTGAATTTTGCCACAATGTAATAAAATATATATTGTTATCAGTGCCTTGAATATCATATAAATATTTGAGTAAATAAAGATCATTCAATAAAAATATATTATCTAATATCTCAAAAGATCGTCTTAAGAAATAATCAATAGTTTATCTTTTAAAACAATAATTGACTCCTTTTAAAGATAAATAATATTATATATTATATATGTAAGATTTCAGGAAATATTCATTCATAAGTGAACTTACATATAACATCTAAAATTTAAATATTTCCTGAAGTTATAATGCATTCTCTTCAAAAGGTCATAAATTATCGAACATATATATGAAACGGTAAAAATATATAATAAATTAATTTATAATATACAAACTATTGAAGTCAATACAACCTTGAAAATTTAGTATTACTTTGAATATTAAATTATCTGATATTCCGTATTATTCGGAAATGATAAATACTTTTGATCAATCAGAGACAAATAAAAACAGATTGGTATAAGTATTCATACATAATGTAATTCCTAATATATCAACCTATTTTTAGTTGAAATATTATTTCAAAATCAAATAAAAAATTGAATTAATTCCATTTAGTGAGTATTGCCCACTGTATTTTAATGAACATTCGTTATATGAAGACACCCATCAACCGAGGCGGTCCTAATTCGCGTGGGCCAAATGGCACTTGGCGAAGGGCCTGCAATTGCAATTTATGGTAAATTAATTTGTAATTAATTTTTATGCGAAAACAAAACGTAACGTAACGTAACGAAACGAATGAATTCCAATTGCCATATGGCCGGAGGGGGCTATTTGTGTTTTTATTTCTATTTTACGCTAGTTTAGTTTCAATTGCGTCCAATTAAACATGCGGCCGCCGCTCAAAATCCGCCATTTCCGATTGCCTGGCAACGTGCAACATCAAATTTAACATCCTCTCCCACCCAAAAAAACAAAAAAAAATTGCCACATCCTCCGCCATATATCCCAAAACCCATGGAAATCCTGAGCTGCTAGCCAGGATCCTCTCTGCGTGTTGCACGCGTTTTGTGTTTTTCGGAAATTGAAATTGCATATTTAAACAGGCCATTCCCACTGCTACTGCTTCTACTACTCCTAATACTAGCTAGTATATATATTTACAAATATATACATATATATATATATATATGTAAATGGGTGTGTGTGTAGTCATTGTGGCAGGAAACGGAAATACAGCGTGTTATTGTTACTGGCCCATTTCTAAGCACTTGACTGCGTTACGCAGTCGCTTCTATAATTATTATTGTTCCATTTGCCCCAAGGACATTCCAATTGGGATTACACTGAACGAAAAGAGAGACTATCTCTGGGAAAAGTTAATATATATTCTTTAATATTAATTAATAAATTAATATATGTATTCTTGTAAGGCAAAGAAAATGCTCTTGAGAAAGCTAAAGGTTAGCCATTATTTTCCCATTATTTTATTATTACCTAAACTATAAGTATTTCCAAATTAAAAAGAGAAAATATCCACTTACTTAATATAATAATCAGGGATGAAAAATAAACTAAAAGAAAGTATAACTAATTACCTTTGATTTCTCTTAGTGCACAGAAGTAAACTTAAACAGCTTTTGGGATTGCCCAGATTCCCCTCTCGTCATTGTCTGAGAGAATGGATGATGTAGAGGCCTCGACAATATCGAATTAATTTCCACAAAATTCATGTCGGGAAATGCTCGGAAAAGTCATCAGGACTGCCGCCACATTTATAATCCTTACCTCACTCACTCAGCCCGATGATTTCAAATTCCATTTCTATTTGGAGCTGCTGATTACGAAGAGGCCGGATATTGGGACAGGATGACAGGTTGGGGGAATTACAACCAGCCCACATTTAAGCAAAAGAAACAAAGGTTTTCCTTCATTTTGGTTTTTCTTTTTTTCATATAATACTTTCGCTTTTCATTTATTAGTTTTTGCATTCTTCGATTTCATGTATTTTTCTCAGGGGAGACAATGCCTTCATCTCCCTCAACTGCTGCTATGCTTAGTAATTCTTGCATTTATAGTTACATATATTTATATATAGAATTTTGTATAATTTATATATATATATTCATATATATATATAGTTTTTTTTCGTATGGCAACACAATAGTAACTTACAGTCGTAGCAAAGTGTTTTGCTGCTGCGATTCCCATTTTAGCTTCTTTTTTTTATACAAATAGTTAATGCTCTCTACACGCACATAAATATATATATTTATATTATATCTGTGTGTAATTGGGGGAACTAGCATTAGCTGTAGCTTTAGCTAGTCGGAGCTGTTAAGATAGTAGTTAGTTAGTTAGCTAGTTAGTGGCTGGCCCAAAGAAATAATTGCACAAGGTGTCGCTCGACAGCTGCGAATGTGGGAATTGAACGGATCCGATATATGTTAGCTATATAATATATATTATTATATATAGGTTTGTGTATATCATACAAACTCAGGTGGTGCTAAATGCTAGATGCTATTCAGTAACTTAGGTCCTACATTAGCCATAATACTTGTCTTTACAGCACTTAACAACACTGTTCGTCATTCGTTACACACACATAAAAAAAAAAAATTGTATCTTGTAGTTTACTCGTTACTTCGAATTTGATTTTCTCGGCTAATTAATTTAGTTTTGGTTTATTTGATTTAATTCTAATGCCTGCATTCTACATTTAGATTACGTTTTTTAGCCCATTTCCTTTAGCTGGTGTATACTCCATGACTGGTGACTAGATATATGTATATGTAGATGTTTATATAGATGTCCAGGGATGCCCATTCTACTCGCCGTTTCTATTTCTTTGGCTGTGACTGTAGACTAGGACTGGGCATCACTGTTACAAGTGGTTTTTATATGTAGATGCCAAGTATATAGACGCTTATAGTATCTGGGGAGTGTGAGTGCTATATATATATATAATCATCGTGTATATATAAGTTCCTATATGATGTACCGACTTTCCTTTTTTTTTGTTCAACTTCCTGGCTGCATTGCTGTTCTATTACATATTGCATCTGGTGTGTATATATATATAGAGAGATGTATATATGTGTATATATGCATTATATATAGATACCTTTACCTTTTTTTTGTGTATATTTATATGAATATTTATTTTCTGTTAATTTCTGTTGCCATTTTGTGTTTATGTTTCGTCTCGTTTCGCTTTTTCGATTTGTTAGTTATTGTCCACCCATCCAGTTTACGGAAATTCTCTTATTTCACTTTGTTTTCTATTTTGGTTTTTTCCTTTGTTTGTTATACTATATATTATTATTATTTTTTGTTTTTCTTTAGTGTGTTGCTACAAAAGGATTCGTGACGCATCAACAAATGTAAATCAACAAATAATTAAAAATATATGTATATGGGAATGCATTGAATTGGAAATATTTAAATGAGCTCACAGATTAAATCTAAGCCTTTAAAACCGAACAGATTTCCATAGTGTTCTCTATTTATTTAACGCACTTAAATTTTATGCATTTTATGCTCAGCTCACAAATCCAAGACACAAAAGGAATTTTATTGAATTCCCATTGAATTAATTGAAATAATTTGTCGGCCTTTTTACGCAAAAATTTGCAGCAAATATTTCATTATTTTTTGTTTTTTGTGAATTTTTCGGAAATTTAACATTTTGCGTTTAGCATGGAATTTTGCACAATTGTTATTCATTTATATATGTATATGTATTTTGCTGCATTTTCGCTCTTGCTGTATTATAAATAATAATGAAATAAATAATACAATTTGCTGCTGTTGTAGAAGGAAAACCAGTCCTGAGTTCGTGTGTTGTTGTAAACATGAATATAAAAATTGAATGCGATATTTAAAATGCAAAAGCAAAATGCAAATGCAGCCTCTCGGTTGTTGTTGGTGTGGTTGTTGTTGGTGTTGTTGGTGTGTCTGAACGTTTCATTTTTGTAACAATTTTGTCGGGCAACCTCCTTTATTGCAGTTGTTGTCGCCATTATTATAGTTGTAATTGCCGCAGCATTATTTACCACACATAATAATAATAATAATAATAATAGTAATAGGAATAATAATAATAATAATAATAGCAATTGCAGTAATTGCTTTTCGCTGCTCGCCTCATCGATGTCCAGTCGTCAACGTATCAGGAGTCCCGTGTCAGGAGACCATCGATTCGCCCTATAGTACATATCCTTGTACATCGAGGGGCACGCATATTGATTCTGTCCATATTTATTTTATATATTTAGAAATTGCAGGAAGAGAAGGAGATAGAATTAAGATACTTTAATATTTATCAAGGGAGCAAAAACAAAAGTAAAACAGCATTTGCTTCTGGGTTTCTTGTGTGTTGTGTGGTTTCTTATAACATCTAAGTTCTAAGCGATAATCTAATTTAAAAATAATATTTATAGTTTAAATAATATGATTAATTAAACTCACCTTGTTGCGCTTAAAATCTATGTTCGTTCTTACGGTTCTATGGTGTAAATTTTGCACGGGTCGCGCATTATTACCTAGTGGAGCTTTTGGTGTACTCTCGGAGCCTTGCATCAGTCGTCGGAGTTGGTACAACTGGAAAAAAAAAGGAAAAAGAAGGATAAAAAAGGATATATTCTTTCATTTTACATATTTTTTTTAAATACATTTGAATTGTAAATTGCGAATATATACATTGACATAATAATTAACATTTGTCAGCAACAGCTTCATGAGTAACTAAAAAGCACACAGCAGCAGTCATTTAATTATTTGCTACATTCTTTGGTCAATTTGGTCTTTGAAGGGTTTAATTAATTATATACAAAAAAATTCAAGGTTTTAACTATTTTTTAACTAGATTTAGTAATCATATAATCAATCCCTACAGGGTATTATAACTTCAGTCAAAAGCTTGTAATTATGTGAAGGAATTATTTTCGATCCTATAAACCATATATATTCTTGATCAGCATCAATTGGCAAAACTTTTTAACCATCTTGGGCAGAGCCCAAAATTTTTTTAAAAATGTACAATTTTTTTAAAAAAAGCAAAGGGGTTACATTGTTAAAATAGTCAAAAATTGATCAACATTTAAATTTTAACCTGAGTATTTGGATTTAATAACCCAACAAAAACTAGCATAAAAAAGCTATCCGAATTAAATTTAAAATATTTTTGACTGAGTTGTGATATTTGAAAAACTTTGATTTACCCGAAAGAAAATAAAATATAAAAATAACGAGCAAAAAAGATTTATAAATATATTAACTTGAAATGAAACTTATATTCCCAACTGTTCACTTCTTTTTCCCTGCACTACTTTTTTATTTTTCTCAATTTATTTGTTAATAAAGTTTTTATCGTATTTACTAAAAGGGGGGAGGTCCTTTTAACCACTAAATAATTCCCAACTACCTCATTGAGTTTATATAAATAAAAAAAGAGGAAATTACTCTTGTCAATCGCTTACTTGTTTGCACTCCGGTCTATGTATTTTTTTGATCAATTTTTATTTCTATTTTTATTGTTGACTCATTTACTCGACAGTGGAACTGGACTGCGGAGTCTGGAGTCTGGGGTCTGCCCTTTGACCCCGCACCGCATGGCCATTACACATGTTTGATATGCATTTATGCAAATTGATTAAACTAACCAAATATTGTTTTTTAATTATGCACAGAGCTGAATATTGACCGCATTTCCACCGCGATCTGACCAATGCCCCAAATTGATGAGCAATTTTATAATTGCATTTATGCGATTTCATTGTACTTCCAATCAGCGGCCAATAAAAAGGCGAGAATGCCAGGAAAAAAGAGGAAAATATAAAAACAAAACACAAATGAAAATGAAAATAAAAATCGAATTGAATTGAATATAAATAAACCGGCTACAACTACAAGCCGCTCTAATTGCCATTGAAAAAACACAAAATGCATTTAATTATTTGCGGTTCTGTGTAAGTTTTGAGGGATACATATTTTTGACTTGAAACTCACCTCCTGTTTGGTGATATAGATGGGCTTATTAACTATGATCCAGACGGTGCTCTCCCAGCAGCCAGGATGCGTTGTGGAGCCCTCGTAGGTGATGTAGTGATCCGTATTTGGTAGCAGCGACCTCACCGATATATGCCGAATGGGCGTGGAGAAGCCTGAAAAGGATGAAGGACCAAGGGGGAATCCCCCAAAGACGGTGAGTGCATAAAACATGGCACAAATGCAAAGTTCAAGGTGCAAAAAAATAGAGGAGGTGGAGCTCGTAGTTTGTGCTATTTATGCGCATATCGTACAAAGAAAAAAAAATGAAAACACGTCTAATGAATAATTCAAAAACCACCTCCATCTCCTGGGGAAAGCCCAAGGGTGACCCTCGTTGCCAGTGCTGACAAAGGATCTATGTTTGGGGAATTTAAGAGAGGGGTTTTTCAAGGTCTAATTTGGGGGTAAGTTGTAATTTTTATACCATGATGAATATAGGGTTTATAAGAGTCTAAATTAACTAAATTAACCTCTTATAATATAACTGAAATTTATAATAATAATGTCTTATATTAAACTAAAAAGGACAAATTGTCATCACTGCGAATACGCCTTGAACGTCAGCGCTTGGCTTTTTTCATACAAATCATTTTTCCAACCGGAAATGAAGCAAGTCGCGGGGTTTTCTTTGCCCCAAGTCAAAGTCTTTCTTTCCTTATAGAAGGCCTATGTCCTGGAGGGAGAACTAGTTCTGCTCTCAATCAGCTGATTGGAAGGCAGTTTCTCAAGGATAACAGGGGAAATTAATGATGGCCAAGGGTAGTACTATAAGTATTTTTCATTTATAAAATCTAAAATCAAGAAATATCCTATTTATTTGCTGCTAGCTGCATCTTAGCTAAAATTTTATTTAAATCTTAAGCCGTACACTTGCAGAGAAGTGTTAGTAATATTGTCAGACTATAAGCAACAAATAATATTAAGTCTTTTACAAGACAACTTCAATAGTTACAGTTTGCTATTCGTAAGATATTTTTGTAATTTTTTCAATATTACATTTCTTATGTTCAACGTTTTTATTCCCTGTGTAGCTATTAAGGTTTCTCAACGAACGAGCGAAGGAAGATGGGTGGCCTGGCATATTTCTTGGTTTTCTGTCGGTCGAGCAGCTACTTTGGCTTTTCACAAATTAAGGCTGGGTCCTGGCTCCACCGGGGCTCCCATAAAGTTGTACGACCTGTAAAAAGGCTATTAAACTGGCCAGGAAAATGCCAACGAGACGTGCTGTTGGAATTGACTTGGACTTGGCTTGGGGTTTCGGGGGGAAGGAATTATTAAGTGTCGGTTTAGTGTAATTCGAGGTTTCATTTTCGTCACTTTGTGCCAGGAGCAGTCTCAATTTCCCCTGCTCCCCGCTGACTGATCCTTGAGCCGCTCTTTTTTTATGGCTCGCCAGGACATAATTATGGAGCGACTGCAGCTGCGGTTGCCGCTGCAATGACATCATAAAAAAAAGGGGCAGCGAAAAATCCCAAAAAGCAAAAAAAAAGGATTCGGTTCTGGCATAAACATTGCAACACTTCCGGTAGCATTTTGCGTAGACGGAAATGAAGGCGGTTTAAAAATGAAGAAATAGGAGGAAAACAAAAATGAGGACTCACCTCTGTACAACACCTTGTTGAAGGTGCTCGTGATGATGCGCAGCTCCGGATTGGGCGTTTCACCAATTTGCACCATCAAGGAGAGTCCTACGATGCCCTGGGACTTGTGCTGTGCCTCGGACATGTTGTGATATAGCTCCTTGTTGAATCCATAGATTTGGATCTGCAAGAAGGAAATATGTTACTATATATATATAGAAATTAGTAAAAATATATATACAAACCTCGCCGGGAAAGCTATAGCCCTGGATGTAGTGCTCTGATCCGCGTACATTCTCGGTTCCATAGTGAATGTAAATCTCTTCAAACTGATAGCGATAGGCCAGCGGTCCTCCTGATATATTCACATGCTGTTTGGTGTCCTTGTCCACGCGAAAGACCAGCGATTGTCCCGTATTGTGCAATGTTCCGGAAACCTGGAAGGAGATCAAGTTGCGTTACGGTGGCGTATACGTAATTTTTCACACAATATCACGTATACGCACCTTGTGCTTGTCTATGTGCAGTGGTCGAAGATAGGGATCGAAGAGCAACTTGTCCGGCACCACATCAATGGGCGATTGCCGGCGCCCTTTGTTGCACATATTCCACTGGGGATTGATGAGGCCCCAGAAACTAGGTCCTGCCGCCACAAAAAACAAACAAGGACACAAATTAAAGGAAAGGAATGTAAAAAGGAGCATGAGTACAATGGTGGCAGGGATTTTAGTACTATTTAAGGTTAGAGAATTTATGCATAAAATACTTTATTTATTACTTAACATAATCTTTAGCTTAAATCTTAAACTCTATATAAAATAGTTACTCTCAAAGTTCTTGTATTATATTTCAAGTCAAATAAATAGTACTTTTATGAGAAATTCCATCTCAAAGCTGGCAAATATAATTTAAAAAAAGGACTTTAATATATTTCCAAAGCTCAAAGGTAAGAAAAATATACAAAGATTGAAAAAGGCGAATAAAAAATGCACTGTTAGGGTAAAAGGTATATGGAAACTCTTCATCATTGACTGCACTATGCCATATGCATACATTTATTGGCCCCTCTCGGTTTCCCATTTCCCATTTTCCATTTTCCTCCCCCTCCCCCCGAAACCGGCCAGAGAGTTCTGTCAATCGACCAAATGGAAAACGTGTCTTCGTCTCTTGGCCCAATGCAAACAGAAACAGAAACAGGAGTCGCAGTTGGAGCAGAAACAGGAGCAGGAGCAGGAGCAGGAGTAGAAACTGCAGCGACATCGATGAGAATTCCAAATGCCAAATGAAATTTCATAAGCTTCAACCCACTCAACCCCGCCCCCAATCCCCCCTTTAAATGGCAATTAAATGCCCCGTTGGGGGAATCCCCGACGTCCCACACTTTTCGTTTGCGTTTTTCAAGCTCTACGTCAAAAGTGATGTGACGGGCTACAAACTGTCGAAAGTTTTCAAAACAACGCTCAGCTATTTTTCAGGGGGAAAACCCGGGGAATCGTGGAAATGTCCAGTAGTCACAAAAAAATGAAACAAAAATTTACAAAAAAAAGAGAGTGAGAAGAGGATGCTGTGTGTGTGTGTGTGGGGGGCATTGGGAGAATTAGGTCTTTGTGCCTTATACAAAATTTAATAGTTTCCCATATGTTGCTGGCATGCAAATAAATTGAGCTGAAGGGTAAAAGTAGTGACTAAGGAAATACTCTTTTTTAAGGTTTAATTATAATAAATAAAAGCTTATATATTTAATAGAAGATAATATATATTTTAGGTATAAAATACAAGAAGGAAAAAGCTTACATATTTAATAGAAGATAAAATATGTTTTCGGTATAAAATACAAGTGAAAATGTCTTTAAGAATTTAAAATGTTTTAAAATTGCTTACATTTATTAAAGTTCCATAATTATAGATTATAATCAGAGAAATTTTAATACTTTATATATATATCAATAAATAAATAAATACTCCCAAGTTTCCTTGAATTTTCCCTAAGCAGATGTCACCAAACCGAATGGCGATTCATAGGTCCTGTTGCCAGGATGCAAATACCGTTTTCTGCATTTCGGTTTCGATGACCGAGGTCTCTCTATGTGTGAGTGTGTTTTTGCGATGATGACACGCGACACAGAGGCAATAAATGCCAAACTTTAAAAAGAGTACCCACCCATGAAACCACCCACAAAACCACCCATGAAACCACCCACAAAACCACCCACATTTTCAGTCCCCCTGCAATTGTCGCGCTTGTGGCCACTCTTGTTGTTGTGCTCGCATTGCGGATGACAATCGAAATATTAAAAAAGTATCGATCTGTAAATAACGCTATCGAATATAGATTTGTTTTTACTTAAAACTCGCTATATTTTACGAATATTCAACTGACATATTTAGTCAAAAATTAGGCATTAAATATTTAATCAAAAAAACAGAATGAAAATGACATAATTATGTTTTCATCATATTGATTTAATACATTTAAATTAATTGTTATTATTAATTGATTCTTTACATTTTTCAGAAACCAAATTCTTTCGTTAGCAAATTTTAACTTAACTTGGCTTAAATTTAACTTAACAAGCTTAAGCTGAAAGAAACATTGCTGATGTTATGTCATTATTTATTTTTTCATAAACCCAATGGTTTATTTAGCAAGTTTATGGTTAATTTATGTATAGAAAATAAATGTTTCCTTACAATTGTTTATAAGATCAAAGAAAGAACATTTAGAGCATTAAAAATGTACCATTGTATTGTTAAAATATTGATATAATTGAGGTGTGTATTTAAAACCTTTTAAGTATGTATAAATATAGGCTTTGTTAGCTTCAAGGGGAAGCTTACTCTCAAGAGGCAGTGTGATCCCGCTGCCCGCCTCCAGGTGTATCGTAAGCTCTCTCACCTTCGCCCTGCCTCTTTCTGACCTCTTCCACTCTCTGCCTCTCATGTCATTCTCCCTCTCCTCTCTCTGTGGACTTCAAGTGCATAGGGCTTTGCACTGCACTCTTCTAGGTTAAGCTTAAGCTATTTGGACTCAGTATTAGTAGTGCGCAGTACGAATTAGTGAGCACACGTGTTCCGCGTTATTAAATTCGAGTGAAATTTAAGGTTAGTGACGTCACCCTTTAAAACAGGTATGATAAAACAACTAATACAACATCTAAATATATCCATGCCGATTTTAATCATATATTAAGGTATTCTATATCAGTTTTATGATATTTTCCTGCACACATCTCGTTTATTTCAATGCACGTTTTTGGCTTGCATTTTTTTTCAGCAGCCGAAGAAGCTTTTTTTTCTGTGTTAGTGTGAGCTTGATTAGGGTTAAGAGGGGGTGTGGGGGCAATGCAGAAAGTGACAAGCGGTATTGTTGTGCGTAGTGCGCATTAGGGAAATTTAAGGTTAATGAAGGCACCTCTAAATTAATTAATACAACATCTAGATATATCCATTGCGACTTTAACCTTTTATTAAATTATTTATTCGATATTTATTTATTTATTTATATATTTATTTATATATTATTTATATATTTATTTATTGATTTTCTTATTTTATTTATTCGATATCTTCCTGCACATATATCGCTTATTTCAATGCACATCTCTGGCTTGGATTTATTTGCTGCAGCCGAAGAAGCTTTTTTCAGTGTTTTTTTTTTCGACAACGACTACGGTTAAATAGTTTCAGCTTGCGTAGGGGAAAGAGGGGGTGTGGGGGGCAATGCAGAAAGTGACAAGCGGTATTGTTGTGCGTAGTGCGCATTAGGGAAATTTAAGGTTAATGACGGCACCTCTAAATTAATTAATACAACATCTAGACATCTCCATACCGACTTTAACCGTTTATTAAATTATTTATTCGATATTTATTTATTTATTTTCTTATTTTATTTATTCGATATTTTCCTGCACATATATCGCTTATTTTAATTCACATCTCTGGCTTGCACTTCTTCGCTGCAGCCGAAGAAGCTTTTTTTAAGTTTTTTTTTCTGGACAACGACTAAGGTTAGAATTTGAACTTGCTTAGTGTTAAGAGGGGGTGTGGGGGCAATGCAGAAAGTGACAAGCGGTACTGTTGTGCGTAGTGCGAATTAGGGAAATTTAAGGTTAATGACGGCACCTCTAAATTAATTAATACAACATCTAGACATATCGATACCGACTTTAACCTTTTATTAAATTATTTATTCGATATTTATTTATTTATTTATTAATTTTCTTATTTTATTTATTCGATATTTTCCTGCACATATATCGCTTATTTTAATGCACATCTCTGGCTTGCATTTATTTGCAGCAGCCGAAGAAGCTTTTTTCGGTGTTCTTTATTTTTGTTTTTTCTGGACAACGACTAAGGTTAGAATTTGAACTTGCTTAGGGAAAAGAGGGGGTGTGGGGGCAATGCAGAAAGTGACAAGCGGTATTGTTGTGCGTAGTGCGAATTAGGGAAATTTAATATTAATCACGGCACCTTTAAATTAATTAATACAACATCTAGACATATCCATACCGATTTTAACCTTTTATTAAATTATTTATTCAATATTTATTTATATATTTATTTTCCTCTTTTATTTATTCGATATTTTCCTGCACATATATCGCTTATTTTATTTCACATCTCTGGCTTGCACTTCTTCGCTGCAGCCGAAGAAGTTTTTTTCAGTGTTTTTTTCTGGACAACGACTAAGGTTAGAATTTGAACTTGCTTACGGGAAAGAGGGGGTGTGGGGGCAATGTAGAAAGTGGTACTGTTGTGCGTAGTGCGAATTAGGGAAATTTAAGGTTAGTGACGGCACCTTTAAATTAACTAAAACAACATCTAGACATATCCATACCGACTTTAACCTTTTATTACTTTATTTTATATAATTTATTTGATATTTTATTATTTTATTTATTCGATATTTATTTATTTATGTTACTATTTTATTTATTCGATATTTTTCTGCACATATCTCGCTTATTCCAATGCACATCTCTTGGCTTGCATTTATTTGCTGCAGCCGAAGAAGCTTTTTTCAGTGTTTTTTTTTCTGGAAAACGACTAAGGTTAAAATTTGAACTTGCTTAGGCTTAAGAGGGGGTGTGGGGGGCAATGCAGAAAGTGACAAGCGGTATTGTTGTGCGTAGTGCGCATTAGGGAAATTTAAGGTTAATGACGGCACCTCTAAATTAATTAATACAACATCTAGACATATCGATACCGACTTTTAACTTTTATTAATTTATTTGTTCTATATTTATTTATTTTTTATTTATTTATTTATTTTATGATTTTATTTATTCGATATTTTCCTGCACATATATCGCTTATTTTAATTCACATCTCTGGCTTGCACTTCTTCGCTGCAGCCGAAGAAGCTTTTTTCGGTGTTCTTTATTTTTGTTTTTTCTGGACAACGACTGAGGTTAAATAGTTTGAGCTTGCTTAGTTAAGAGGGGGGGAGGGGCAATGCAGAAAGTGATAAGCCGTACTGTTGTGCGTAGTGCGAATTAGGGAAATTTAAGATTAATGACGGCACCTTTAAATTAACTAAAACAACATCTAGACATATCCATACCGACTTTAAACTTTTATTACTTTATTTTATATAATTTATTTTATATTTTATTATTTTATTTATTCGATATTTATATTTTTATTGTACTATTTTATTTATTCGATATTTTTCTGCACATATCTCGCTTATTCCAATGCACATCTCTTGGCTTGCATTTATTTGCTGCAGCCAATGTAGCTTGTTTCTGTTTCTGTATTTTTTGTAATGTTTTTTCTTCCCCTTTGTCCCTCTCGCATTGCATATAAATATAAATAAAAGTGCAACGCTGGTCAACGACTGGGGTTAAAGGGTTTGAGCTGTTTGCGGGTTAAGAGGGGTAGGGGTGGGGTTGGGGGGCAATGCAGACAGTGACAAGCAACAATTACAATGGCAACAACATCCTACAATCCAAAAACCATCAGATATGTCCTGTGTGTGCAGTGTACAGTGTTTGTTGCCCCGCCTCCCTGTGTCCCTGTGTCCCTGCGTCGCTATATCCCCTTCCCTTCCCATTTATTCGTTTATTTGTTTGTCCTGTCTGCGTTTTTGTTGGCAAACGATTTGAAATGTAATTAAATCAGCCGCAGGCAGGAGAAGGGGGGACCTACAACAAACATATATCAAAATCTAACCAATTTATTTATAGAGAATATTAAGGGAAAGGAATATTAATTAAAATATAGGTAGGATCCGAGGGAAATTAATACTTGAACTTATGGGGCTTAATACGTTTAAAAAATACTTAGAATATACCTTAATATTATACGTTTTAAAAGTACCATCATCAAGTTTGACTTATTAACACTTACCGGATATGCCATCGTATGTCCACCACTCCTCCCAGCTGGACAGGACCTCTGAAAAGGTTCAAAAGAAAACAAGTCATGAAAGAGTAAACACTTGGCAATGGCAGTGTCAAGCCCAAGGAGCTTAAAGTCTAGACAAACTGAGCCCCCGTCCGAATTGCACTCCAAAGGATATGCATTCCCAGAAGATGCCTTTTTTGCATATGCAAACGGAGAGAAAGGAAGTGTCTTAGAATCTCATCTCATATCCCGCTGGCAGCCAAAATCTCTGCTATTTCAATGCGCATAATTCGCTGCCAATGTAAACAGTGCATGAAATCAACTAATGTAAGACTTGCCCCCGATTTTTATTCAGCTTTCCGCAGTTACATTTTCCGCTGGGCCCCAGACTGAGAGTCACCGGCGGCGGCAGAGTCAGACAAAACAAACAAGCAGCTTCTCTTCTACTGCTACTTGGGGGGTAAACGATGACTTTAGTTGCCAGCCATCGAGACGCCATCGGTCCATGGGATGGATGGGACGGGAGCTTATCCCAGGCAGTGCGTGTCCAAGAGGACAACCAGAACCGGGAGCCGGGAGTCAGGGCCCAGGATCCAGGACGACGACGACGACAACAGCGATGTCGCCAGGCAGTCTGGCGCCAATAAAGTTTACACTCAGTTGCCACATTTCGTTTATGGGCAAGTTCAGCTTCCGCTTTATCAAGCGACAGACAATTTTCGCCATTTTTTTCCCCCAAAAACCCCGCTCTTCTCTTCTGTCCCGCCCCCCTTTTGAGTATTCAAAATTTATGCTATATGCGTCGGTCGTCCTTTGGCTTTTTGGGGGGGTTAGGGTGGCAGCTCATTTTCCAAAAGGATGGGGTTTCGGGTAGTCGGCAATAAAGCCCAAAGAAATTGCTGCAAGCCAAAGCGGAAGTTCAAAAAGGGAGTCGGTGGAAACCGGGTTGCCCCGCTTCCTGTTTGCCGCCATCATAGCGATATACCCTTTGGGTCATAGGGAAGTATCACGATTTTTGGACAAAGGAAGTGAGGGACCCTTAATACGATCTTTTTTCTTGAAGATATAACTAGCTTATATATTATGTATATATAAAATACAATATAAAAGAATATCTGCCTGTCTGGAAATGAATAAAAATAATAAATCCAAATAGTTTGCAGTATAGTTCTTTCAGTGAGACAGATCCTTCTTAGATCCTTTATATCCTTGAAGTAATATATAACTATATTAAAAATTAACCGTCTAGAAATATATATATATTAAATAATTAAAACAAATAGTTTGCAGAATCCTTTCATTTTCAAGGCATATCTAGCTTATGGTTCCCATAGTTTATACTATATAAAATAATCTCTGTCCTTTTTTAAATATTTATAAATTATTGAGGTACATCATGCCTATCTTATATAAAAAAAATATCTGTTGATCTAGAAATATATATATATTAAATAATTAAATTAAATAAATTAAAGCAAATTGTCAGTAAGACAAAACCTTCTTAGATCCCTTCTTTTTTTAAGGTATACCTGCCTATAAATCTATATACAAATACAATATAAAAGAATACTTATCCTTTTACTAATTATATATAAATAATTAAGACAAATAGTTTGCAGACAAGTTCTTTTCAAAAAGAGACATCCTCCTTAGATTCATAGCTTTTGATTTCCAGAATTTAAACTATATAAAGAAATATCTCTCCATTTACAAATTTATATATAAATAATAAACGTACATCCTGCTTATGAAATCATGAGTATATACCTTATAAAACAATAACTGTCCATCTGGAAATATATATAAATAAATAAGGGACAGAAACAGATCCTTCTTAGATCAATTAGATACACCCTGCTTATGATTCCCAGAATTTTTATATATATATATTACTATATATAAAATACTATCTTATCATTTAGAAAAATATATATAAATAATAAAGGCAAAGAGCAGACAAGTTCTTTTCAATAGGAGCGATCCTTCTTAGATAATTTTTTCTTAAAGATACACCCTGCTTATGATTTCCAGAATTTATACTACATAAAATACTATCTTATCATCTAAAAAAATATATATAAATAATTAAGGCAAATAGTTGGCAGGCCTTGTGTATGGTATAGTGTGTCGCCAATTTGCCCCCGCCATTCCAGGACATCTTCGTTGTCCTTTGTCTCTGTTTGCTCCGCTGAATTCCTTTTCGGTTTGTCGTGTTGCCCTTTTTCCTTCTATTTTCTGTTTTCTTTTTTTTATTTTTTTATTTTTTTGGCATAACAATGAACGTCCGTTTTTGTGAGTCTCGCGGCTCGCGACTCGGCGACGTCACTTCATTTTGTTTGTTTCTTAACATCGTTTTTGCCTCCATTCCCTCCTGCTTTTATTATTGTCTGCTTAGCGCTGTAAAGTATGCTATTAAATTGGCCTCCGCGACAGTCCACTCTCTTGGCGAGCAAATGAGACCAGCGAATGGGTCTTCGTCTTCCCCCCTCGCTTTTCCGATTTGCAGACTCATCTCCCAATGATGCCTCAACAGATTGCACCCGCTACCCCCCCTCAGACAATTCAGTCATTTGGCAAATTCGCTTTTATGCTGCAACAGCAACTTAATTTATTGTTATAACAGTTCTATTTCTATTTTTCATCGACCCCCCCACAGCAATTTTTGGTCATTTGTGCAGTGAAAGAAATTGTGATTATATCAAAAGTTTTGGTTTTATATGAATTTTACATATTAAAATAATGTAATATATTTAAAACCAATAATACTGTAGAAAACAAACCTTAAACAATAACGAGCAAAGACCACAAGTTTCCTGAAGCTCTTTCCATTCCTTTCTTAATTTTCTTGAGCATTATTTTAAATAGGTATCTATAAATAAAATAGTTTCACTTATTCTACTTAAAGCTAAATGATAATTTCTATAATATCTTATATATAAAACTAATTTTCTGACAGTGCATCGAAAATAAAAAAGGAAAGGCAAAAGACAGTCAGTCTGTCGCCACAATTGTGTGTATACGACCAATGGTTTATGGGTTCCTGTTGGCCATTTCAATGTGGAATCTGGCTTTTAGGCTATTGTCTCTATCTCCACCCGATCCCTAACCCAGTCCCCAAAACCCAAAACCCAATTCCAATCCCAAACCCAAAACCCTTGCTATATTTACAACTATATCTTTTGGCCTCTTTGGCATTGGGTAGCATTTAGGCCTTAGTGCCAGGCTTTTAGAGGCTTTAATACGCAGGCAAAGCAGTTTGTGAATCGAAATATATATAAAAAGATAAGGACAAGGAATTTAGATTTGCAATATTGTAAAGATACTATAGATTCCGATAAGATTTTTAAAGCTAGTCCTGCCTGATTAATTATGAGACTAAGTTGGGAAAATTTAAAATCACAATTTGCATCTTAAATTTATTTCATACTTAAATTTATATTCAAGTTTTGTTAATAAACTTTATCTAAATGAAAGCAATTATTTGAAGTACTTAAAAAGATACCAATGGATGTATATATTGATTCATTTTCATTTCCAAATGTTTTCCCCTCTTTTCGTCTTAGTAAATTCATCAAAAAAGATAAATTAATTGCCAGGCAAGTCACTCACTAGTCACTTTCTTATCAATAACAAGAGCGTTTAGATGGCTAAATTAACTCGGGTTTCCCCTCCATTTGCATAACCAGTAATTAAGTTGAACGTTAAATCAGAGACTGAACCTGAACCTGAATCTTAATCTGAATCTGAATCACAAACGGAGGGGGAATGGGAAAGGATTATTATTCGTTTGTTTGCCTTTCTTGTGTGCATGAAAATGGCGTAAAGATGGAATGTTTGGCTATCAAAAGTGAGGCAAATGTCCTCGACTTTGGTCAGGATACGCTGGGTTAGTCAGTCACGCACATCAGTGCTGTCGAAATGTCCTTTTTTTCTGGCATAACTTAAGATATTTTAGAGGATGTTTTTGGAATTAAATTAATGAAAATTTATGAATTATCTTAAAAAATATATTTAAAACATATTTATCTATCTAATTTGCCGTAAAATCCTTTTCACTTTCTAATAATTACAACCTTTATTAACATGGATAAGTTTCTTACAAATTTTATTTAATATAAAAGAACAAATTTATTAAAACTTAAAAAATTTATTAAACTTATTAATTATCTTAAATATTATTTAAAACCCAATTTGTTTTTATCTAATTCGTATTAGAATCCTTTTCACTTTCTAATAATTACAACCTTTATTATTATTGTTAAAAACTTTAGTTAATATAAAAGAACATTTCATATTTTTACTATACTTATGAACCTTAAGGTATGTTATGTCTTAGTAATTTATATATTTTATTTTCTAAAGAAAATCGCAAATTTTCTCTTTTCCTGTTGGGCTTATATTCAAGAAAACTATCATCCCTGTTAGCGCATATATCCTGTATCCTGACGATGCCGTGCGTGGGTCCCATCAAAAGGCAAACACGCCCGGCAACATTTCAATGTCTAAATGAATTAAACAGGCAACAAACAAAGGGGATACCCAAAAAGGGGACGCCAAAAGGATGTGGATTGGGATGGGGGATTTCAGCCCTTTTATGTGTAAATTATGGCTCCAATATAATATTGACAATGAATCAATAAAGGAAATGTCCTTAAAATTAATAGGCGACATTTTGATATAGAATTACTCGCTGTGTCATCGCTTTTAATTAAAATCTCTAGACGAGGCCGCGGATATGTATGTGTGCGTGTGTCTCTATAGTATATGTGTATAGTATATATCCTGGCATGTCCTCGGCGAAATTTATTGCTTCCTGCGAAGCGCTGATTAGTATCTGAAGCGCTGCTTCAGTTTATCAAACTGTCGCCTTGGCAGCCCCTCGAAGATTGACGACCATAACTTCCCCACGAATTTTCTACACATTTTCCCCTCAGTTTTCCCTTCATTCTTTTTCCCTTAAAAAACCAAAAAAAGGAAAGCTTTCAGCGAGTTAATTTACTCGCAAACATTCGATCAGATTTTTCGCTGGGTTGTTGTTTGCTCATTTTTCACTTAAATTTTTAATTTGTTTTGCAGGCTGAAGCTGAGAGCTCACACGGAATTGCGATGGAAAGCGCATTAAAACCGATTAGCTGCATAATACATGACCAGGGAAAAGTGCGGAAAATTTGTGTGGAAAACTGCAGGCAGTCGAGAGACAGGTAAGCTTTTTAAAACTTTGTTTAAATATCAAAGAATTGGGGGGTTCTTTGATTATTTGCTTATTTTATATAATTTTTATAATAATATGATTGTTTTTAGGCCTCATAATGAATTTATTTTAAGTGCAATAATATGCAAAGTAACTGGAAAAACTCTCTTAAATAATAACAAATAATATTCTGTAGAGGAAACTTTACTTTGACCATTTAGTCTACAATTTACATGTTCACAAAAGGCAAGACAAGGCAAGGCAACAAATTAACCCAAAAATTGTGGGACTGAAAACAATTTCCAAGCCATTACATGATTTTTCTAAATAGTTGTTTAACTTTTACCATTCCTCTCTCTTGTCCAAGGAAACATTGTACGCATTCCGCACTTCATTTCCTTCTTGCATTTTATTTTATTTTTTCGGTTCGCGTAAAATACTTTTGTTTGCTTCCTGGCGCCAAAAAATAAAAATTCCCATTTCATCTTCTCGGGTAAATTAAAAAATGGGTCAGAACAAATAATAGGAATGGGAACTGGGAATGCTGATGAACAAAGTGAAGGGAAATAAACGTTCAACTCACGCGATGAGTTAACAGCAAAAGTTGATGTTTGTGCTGCTGGTTGATTTGTTATTTTTTCGCATGCTGCTGCGGAAAATGCGTTAAAAAATCCACTCGAAAGCGTTGATTGAAAAGCAATTTTCCTCGAATAAGGATCTTGGTTGTGGGAAATAATAATACGAAAGCGAAGAGAGAGAGAGAGAGGTTTGTTCAAACAAAACAAAATATGAAGAAGCTGTGATGAGATACAGAAGAATCTTAAGGATATTGATATGGAAAGCTGAAAACTATAAATTTTAAAATGGGAAATTTAAATATTTAAGCTACATTTTGAAGCTGATCAAATATTCTATAACTTTCTATGTAATATCATATTATAAACAGCCATTTTTTCTTCCTAATAAGTATATATTAAGTGGGCCTTAGATTTCCTTTAGTTCCTTTAGTTCTTTTCTCCAGGTGCACCCCACAAGTTAATTGGCCCAAATGCTCATGTTCAGGTGTAGGGAATTCTGGTAAAGTCGAGCAAATAGAACGCTTGAAAACCATAATTTGGCTAAAACCGTCTAGACATTCGCCGCTCGCAACTAACCAACTATCTTAATTTGTTGGTGCCAACAAACTTTTACCAACTTTGCGCTCCCAACTCCATTTGGAGAGAAGACGAAGAAAAAAAAAACGAGTAAAGAAAGGCAGGCCAAGACCGGGGGAAAAGTGGCTTGAAAAGCTGAAAAGAAAAGCGCCGAATAAGGCTCAAGAGGAAGTTGTGGCCGTCGCTTTGCTCCTGCTCCTGCTCCTGATCCTTCTGCTGCTTGGCATATACAATTTCGATAATAAGCAACAGTATCCACAGTGCACTTTCCTGTTCCAAACCCAAGGGCCAGTGAGGGGTTAAAGGGTGAAAGGTGAAAGGTGTACAGTACACACGTGTGTGTGTGCAGTTTTTTTTTGGAGAGAGGAGGAGAGAGGAGCTAATGCGAGTCACGTCAACGCCGCTACATGCGAAATCGTTTTTGGAAAACTTTTTTCCAGTTCCCAGCAAAAAAAATAAAGAGGGAACTTCATCCTGAAAATATCTGCGGTGGCTCAATTAGTGGCATTGGCCTTAAAAAGGACCGACTGCCAAAGAGACTCCTGTTGGTAAAAAAGGGGTTTTTCTTTTACATTTTAAAATAGTTTTGCTTCAATTTGAATACTTGGTTATTATAAATATTTATGAGTCACTAAAAGTGTTACCGAAAGCTGTGAAATTCAAACATTTATTAAACATTTCTCCTACTAACCAAGTATGATTGTTAATAAAATTAATGTAAAAAAATAGGCACAGAAAATAATGCTAAGCATTTCCCGATTATATATATATATATATATTAGACTATGTATCTTGGATAAAGAGAATTATCCTGTCGGGAGACGTCCTATTTCCTTGATTTAAAAGTTAGGAATTTATCTAATATTTCTTATAAACCAAGTTCAATTGGTTACAAAATCAAAGAACAATCTCCTCACAGAAAATCAAGTCAAACTTTACCCAATTAAAGTATAGTATTATATACTATCTATACTATCTATAATAAGTCTAAATATAGTATACATTATGACTAGGACATAAAGAAATATCCTGTCTGGAGTCGCTTAATGTCCTTGATTCTTATTTCAAGCATTTATAAAACATTTCTTACAAACTAAGTTCAATTGCTAACACAAAAATGAAGTCAAACAGAAAATCAAGTCAAACTTTACCCTATTAAAGTATAGTATATAATATATATAGGCCATAAAGAATTATCCTGTCTAGAGCCACTCGATATCCTTACGAAGCAGATTGAGACAGCCACTTAAACTCGATCGGTGGTCAAATCGAGGCGTTTACTCCCTCTGGCTGACATATTGGCATTTCTTAATGCCAAACAGACAAAAGCACAATCAGCTAAGCACTCCGAGGAGCGGAAAAGTGGAAAGCCGGAAAAGTGGAGTCAAACTGGGGGGGGGGGGAACGGAGCGAGGGATAAAAAGGCAATGGCTCTCGGCACTTGGCTCTCGCCATGTCAAAGTGATTTTTCACCTCAAGGGCAAATTTAACACAATAATTTGCACAATTTGTCAAAACAACCCTCTGGCTAAATGGTATCATAAACCACGAGTCCTTTTTGTGTGTGTGGTAGTGTGTGTGCCAGAGTTGATTGTCCTGCATGCATTTCAGCCATATCTCGCCTTTGTTACGCCCCCCCACAAAACGCTATCCGCTTTTCCTAGTTTTCCCCGCCTTACATTTTTATGGGACGACTTCCACGGAAAAGGCCTTTGGATTATTATCTGGCTCCCCTTCCAGTTTCGTATGATTAGTCGACTTTTAGATTTAAAGTAACGTGATTTGGTAAAAGCATTTCTGTTTTATTGCAACGAATTTGGGAATTGAATTGAAAGGTATTACTTTAGTTATTTTGGGAGTTATATATTTGGCTAAATTTTTATTCAAAAAGTTATTTTAAAATGTAATCGAGATCTAGAATCCTTTTGGCTAAAGGTTTACTTTTCCTGATTCTTGTAATTTCATTGGCACTCGATTAAAAAATATTAACCATCATGGTTTTTTTTTCCTTTTTTGAAGTGCAATTTTATTAAATTAATATATCTATTTAAGCCTTTTTTAACAGACTTTTAATCTAATCTAGGGTAGGTATAGGTTAGGTAAGACCTATGTTTAAATAAGGGTTTTAGGTCTTTATAATTTTAGTCTAAAATTTGCAGGGCATTTCCAAATCTTAAAATTGTATATAATCCTATCAGATCGATATAATCTAGCTTTGTTCGCTAAAAACAAAATATGTACACATATTTTAAACATTTTCTAATGGGTTCTAAGGGGAAATTGTTAAAAATAATTTCATAGAAAAGTTTATTTTGTATATATTGTAATTTTACCACTGAAGCTAAGAAAAAGAAGAATAGAAAACATTTTAAAATGAAATTAAAGTACTTATTGGCTTAATTATGATTTATTTCAATTTTCAAAAGTTCTAAAAATGATTATAAAAAATATCTTTCAAAACTGCAAGGATTTAGAGTCTGGTTCTGTAAAAATAACTTCCTTTTTAATTTTTTAAGCATTTCCCTAGCTCTCTGCTCTGAGATCTTAAGGTTTTCTTAGGATTTTTCCTCTACCTTCAAAGATCCTACAGAAATCATCTATATTATAAAACTTAAATACTTTTCCGGAGATTATAAATCATAACAAAAAATCCAACATATAGATTATAAAAAAATGCATACTATATATTGTTTTATATTTACGAAAAGAGCATTTGCAGTTGGCTTTTTCATGATTCCGAATTTCGGTTTAATATTTTCATATTTATGACTGGCAATGTTTTGTCGCCATTTCACGCACACACACACACACACATTGAGAGCTTCATAGGGGCTTCCCCTGTTTGGCATTTTCAGTGTTTTCACGCCCATTTTCCACTGGCCTTTTCTCCTTCGCTCGTTTTTCAGTTTTGCACTTTTGCAGTTTATGCAATTTCAGTTTTTGCATCCAGTTGGTTATTTTTCCCAATGTTTTTGTTGTCTGACCGCAGTGTGGAATTGTTGTTGTAGTTGTTGTTATTATTATTATAGTTGTTGTTGTTGTTGTTTGTTAGTTGCCCCGATTATTTTTTATTTGCACTTGTTTATACTGCAATTTTTATAATAAACGCCATCGTGTCGCGCATCGTGACAAGTTTGCAGCCTGATTTTCCGCGGCCCTGCGCGATCCGTCTGCGGTTTTTATCACTAATGCGCTCTGTTCGATATATGTAAAAACATTATGAATATAAGATTTAAATTTTGTATAAATACATGTATGATGCAGTGTATATTCATGGAAATTGAATAGAAAAAAATGTGTGTGGAATTAAATCATGAGCCTGATGAACTGTGTCTCTCTCGCTGTGTGTGTGTGTCGGGAGTTTTGCCATTTTAATTCAGTTGATGTTTTTAAATTTTTTTGTTTGCTTGCCACTTCAATTGGTAATAATTGTTGCCTTGTGTTTTTCCCAGAAATATATATATATATATATATATATATATATATTTGTATGAAAAGTTTCCGAGTGGGAATCGCTTGTTGAAAGTTTCCTTTAGAGTTGTAGATAAATTTTAAAATGCCTTGCATTGATTGAAGCTTTAGCTTTAGACTACAAAATTTACGATTTTTATTATTTGATCGGATTAAAGTCAAAAATCTGAGGCTTAAATTGTTTTCATTTCAATTAAAATTCCATAAGTGGCAGTAAGCACATTTATTTATTATTTCTTTGCCTTGCATTTAAACATAAAAAATCTCTGGTTTATTTTTAGTTGTGTTGTCTTTAATTCTAAACATTTTGTCAGTCTCTGTGAGGTCAGAGGTTGAGCTACTTGAGCGTTAATTTGTTTCCACTTGCAAACATTTCACCGCTGCCTAGGAGCTATTTTTCTTTACATTTTTGTGTAAATATATTTATGTATGTTTTCCCTGCCCCATTCCTTTAGTTTTTGCTGCAGCTTCTGTTTGGAGTGGGGGTGTGTTTTTGTGTGCAACAAAATGCATTAACTCAGCTAAAGTTGTCCGAGAACATCCTGCCACACGTCCTTTTGTCCTGGCTCCAGGGTCCAGCATTCTGAGTCCTGAGTCCTGAGTCCTTTTGTCCCAGCAGACTCTGCTTTTTGTCCCATTCCGCTCGATCCTTCGTCCCTTTTCTCTCTCTGTTTGTGGCAAGTGTCGGTGCGTTTTTGTTGCGGTTCTGGGATTCGACTCCGCATCCTATCTATATGTGTGAATGTGAATGTATTCGGTAGTCACTGCTTGACAGGAATGTGTTCGAGTGTGCTAGTGTGTGTGTGCCTGCCAAAATCCTTTTAAACTTGCCTCGCAAAACATTTTACATTCGATGACGTTTTCATTGCAAGATGCAACGTCAACAATAAACACAAACACACTGAGCGAATTTCCTTAAGAAATTGTGCCACTTGAAGGAGGAAAATAGTTCGGAATTATAGTTTCTTAAGCTTAAAATACAGATCTGCTTTCTTTGTTCTCGAAGTAATAGTCTTGATAAATAATGAATTAATAGCTTATTCTTTTTGAAACATTTTAGTCATCTTCTCCTTATTTCTTTTAATTATTCATAAATAATTAGACTGGAATTAGAAGTAAGATAAAGTATACGTCCCTTCTTCATATAAAATTACTTTTCAGTTGTAATCCTTGTTAGATTCTTCTACTCAAAGGACAGGTTAAAATTAGTTAGTTTGTCACTTTTCTTAATAGCTTATTCTCTTTTAAAATAGTTGTTTTTTTATGAACAAGTTTCTTTTTTAAAATATATTCATAAACATAAAGGGTTAAGAATGATATTTAAGAGAAAACATAAGGCTATTTGTTTTACATGATATATATTATATCCTTGTTAGATTCCTTTATCCAAAAGACAGGTTAGAAGAACTCTCTTTGTGGAAGAAGTGATAGTTTTCCTAATAGCTTATTCTCTTTGAAACAACCAGTCGTATTTATAAATAAATATAGTTGACAATTATAATTATAATAAAATATAAAGCTACTTAATGTTCTTGTTCTGTTATGATATTTATTTCTATGTTCACATCCTACTTAGATTCTTCTAATCCAAAGACACATTAAAAGAACTTTCCTTGCAGATCTCCTTAAAAGTGAATTTTCTGTTAAATAATCAGTCTTTTATAGAAAACTTTTTCTTATGTATACATAAATAAATAGTAAAGAATTATAATTAAGAGAATGTCTATGTCCTGATATAATATTTATACAAAAAAACCATTGCCTTTTCAAGAACTTGACTGAAATTTCTTGGCTTCACAACTTTTATCACAATTTTAAAATTGAAATAATAAGCTGTATATTAATTGTTACTCTACTAGATTTTTGACCAGTGCTTTGCCCCCAGAACCGGCAGCAAAATCAAATTTGCTACCAAAAAAAGGGAAACCCATAGTAGAAAGAGTAGAAAGCAGAAAGAAATCGACTGAAAAAGAAAGTAAAGTCCACTGCATCGGTCTGACCCAAGAATTGAGTGAGTGGAGCTCCCTTCGGCTGGAGTCCTTTGGCCAAACCGTCTTCCCTTCGATCCCCCCTTTTGTTGGGCATATTTCACTTACCGGAACTGCAGAGCAGAACGATTGCTGAGCAAGCGATAAATCCTGCCGTGGAGCAGCAGAATGTATGTCCTGGCGACGGCATCGCTGTCTCTCTATTTTCGACGTGGGGGGTTAACTATTGGACGTGGATCTGTTGGAGTCACTTTTCTATACTTTTTATTATTATTTGTATTTTCGATGTTTTACTTTTATATATTTGTGATTTGAATTTCGTATTCTTTTTGCTGGTGGGTCGGATTGCGCACACAAAAATAGTCTGCAGTTAGATCTGGCACTTGAGTCTCGATTCGGTCAGTTGGAGCATCAGTTTCAGTTTCAGTTTCGATTTCAGTTTCAGTTTCATCTTAATTTCCATCTTCATTGCTCAACTTCTGCTGGGCCATTGGCCAGCCACCTCCCCCGCCTTCACTTTGCCACTTTGCATATATGCAAATTTTAATTTCCGCTACTGGCATCCTTCATTTCCGTCCTTCAAGCGTTGGTTCTTTCTTTCTTTCTTTCCTTCTTTCTCTTCCCGCCCCTCGAACACACTCTTTGCACTCGAAAAAAAATAGTGAAAATAAGAAAACAACTAGATGGCAGGCATTGCTAACCGCTGACCGCTGACCTTTGACCGTGACCACTGCCTTTCGAGTATATTTCGCGCTTTTTGCGAGTATCGCCAGTGAGAGAGAGCGCTGTTGCAAGGGACACGCGTCCGCCTGTGCCTGATGCCGAATTGAAACTGAACCGAACTGTCAGTGGCATCAGCGCCAAAGGATATGCAACGTCCTGTCGGCAGGCGCGCAGTAGCAGCAGCAGCAACAGCAGCAGCAGCAGCAGCGGTAGCAATAGTAGAACAACAACAGCAGTCGCTTGCCGAAAGGATATTCTTGCTCGGCTTGGTCGCTGTGTTCGGGGGCAAGGACGAACGTGTACGAAGCAGCTAGCGAAGACGAACGAAGTCGTAGAGCCGAAGGCACACGATAATGAGTTGGAATTTGGGGAATAATGGGTTCAAAGGAACCGGCATCGCGAGTCCTTGTGGGAACACTGTGAGGGAATACAGGGAAATACTGGAGAGTTAGGACGTTACTATATATTTTATTGTCATTTGAGGGGTTAAAATATAACATAAATATAATTTTAGAATATTCCATAAATATTAAAGGAAAATAAAACATTATAAAATGTAAATAAAATAATTAAGTGTGTTAAAAATATAAGAACAAATAATTGTTGTCACCAAAGGTTATTTGTTTTTAAAGCTAAACAAAATATGCTTTTGGATGAATATTTTTGCACTAGTAATAAAACTATCAATTAATATTATGATGTTTAAAATATTATATTTCAATAATATAAAATATATATTATAATCAGCTTTCTGCTTATATATATTTAAAGGTTTTTAAGTAAAAACTATATTTCAATGGTGATATACCATTATATTTAATATTTTGTATTTTGATTTGTATCTTTACCAAGTGTTCCCTTTATTCCTTTTGACCTTTATATGCATATCTAGTCAGAAGGAAAATAAATATAGTATTCTATATATATATACATATATATTGAAAAAATTAATAACATTTTATTATTTATACAATTTATCAACAACATAATTTACAATAAGAAATATTAAATATATTAACTAATATTAGCAACATTACCAAACTGTTCCCACATCAAACCTTACTGTTCCCAGTGGATTGCCTCTTATACAAAGGACTCTGCTCTTCTACTCCTTCGTGTGGCTTCGTGGGTGCCGTGTTCGTGGGAAAAAGGACACGAGGTGCTGGCGTCGCTGCCGACGCCTGCGCGACTTTGGGGCGACGAGTGGCAAGGATCCGGCGAATTACAGCGCTTGGTAGCCACGTGCAAGGAGCACGCTGTGTTGTCCTGATTGTCCTGGGTTATGGTTGTGTGGTTTTTTTTTGCTCTCCCTCCTATTTTTTTTTTTAGATTTTTGTTGCTTTTTTTGTCTATTTTTTTGTGTTATCCTGGCGCTTCCTTTGCTCAACTTTTGTTGTTGCTGTAGTCCTGCTGGCAATCAGCGAAACGTTACGTGCGTTGCCTGCTTTTTTTTGTGTTTTCCAGAATAGAGGGGGAATAGAGAGGGGGGTCTTAGGGGCACCTTATCAGTGGCGAAGAAGACGGCGAGGAGGACTCGTCCTCGGAGTCCTTCGTCCTGTGCCGTTCGGCGTGAGTCGTCGTTTCTTCTTCAGCTTGATATAAATTCTTATTGGCGCATTACAAATTGTCGTCGTATATGTGAGTGTATGTGGGAGGGCGCACATAATGTAATCGCCTTACATAACAAGGATATGGGGGACAGGACATAAGGACATAAGGCATAAGCAATTTTTCTTCTTGCCTCGCGACACAACACAGATTTGGGGCCTTTGTTTTGCCAGTAATTAGATTTTCATCTCATTTGCATACAAATGAAAGCGAGTGTCGAGTCGATGAATCGCAAATCAGGCTTCGACGAGTGCGCATAAATTAGCGCCAAAATAAAATATATATATTATATATATAGATATATCTATAGAGAGGGGGAATGAGAGTGGCCTTTTGTCGGCTTAAATAACATATTAATGTGCGGCCTAAGCGCTTACACAGTTTCCATTTTAAAATCGAAATCGAATCAATGAGACGGCGACAGCGACTAATCCATAAAATCGCTCTCACCGCGTAATTCAATTCAAATGTCTCGCTGCATTATTAACGGCATTTCAATCAAAGTCACTCGTCAGGCAGTCGGTCCCCCTCCCCCCAAAAAAAACCCCTCCCACGACTCCCACACTGCGTTGCGTTGGAAGCCAATCACTTGACATTGCAATTGAATGCGAAGGCAGCAGACCCACAAGAGCAGCTAATGGTAACAATAACGAATATCGAACAATTGCCACCAGCCAAAAGTCAGCAATGTCCTTTAAATACTCTGCTTTTGATTCAGGAAGGAAGGTAGATATTTTGGGAAGTATTCGATTGATTTGGGTTTCTTTTTCAAATATTTATTTACTAACTTCTTAATATCTTTATTTCTATATTTATTTGCTTGTTTTTATATCCTTATTTCTTTATTTACCTTCAAACTATTTATATTATATATTTTATTGTCTTACATTAAAAGGAAAGGAATTAAAAGGGAATTTGTAGAATATAAGTATAATAAAGTTTTTTTATATTTCATAATGTGTTATTTATAAACTTATGCTAATTAGAAAAAAATATATTTTCTGGGGCTGTAAAAGTAATTTCTGTAAAAAACCTTTTGAAGTCTTTCAAAAGCTGTTCAAAATTTATTCTAGAAAACTTGCCATTGTTTAAAATACAAACGTAGACATAATTTTTAAGCTAATTAGGTTTTTTTTTCATATTTAAGACATATTTTTCAGGGCCTTAAAAGATCAAGTGCTTTCCAAAACTCTTAAAAAATGACCTTAGGTGTGAAAAAGATACAATTTTGGTTCCAGTTTCTTGCCTTTTTAAATTATTAAAGTAAAACTAGAATATTTAAAGACTTATACTTTGTATAGAAATGATTTTACCGAAAAACAGGATCATTTTGGGATCTAAATTCTTCTTTGCTGCAGTTGGTTTAATATATATTTATATATAGGATATTTTTTATTTAAATTATAGTGTATATATATATATATATATATTTGCTTCTATATTTTATTTTAAGTATCATAAATCGGCTCGCTTGCTGCCTGATGCTCATTGTAATTGTCAGGCATTCGGTATTGATTAAGGCCGAAAGCGCCCAAAAAAGTATGCTACGTATTTTTGAGTGCGCATACAATTCCATAGAAACTGACAGCTCCACGAACACAAACACAAACACATGCAGCAGACACAGATACTAACATACAGTCACAATTGCATTCGCACATTGCAATTGCAGGCAATGCAATTGAATTCGTGGCAGTTTTAATGTAATTAGTTTTTACACCTTGCCAAACCGACACGGCGAATTGAATGTGTGCGGGTTTGAGTGTGGGTGTGGGTTTGAGTGTGGGTGGCAAGGATAATGGGTGGCTGGGCAACTGGGTGGCTCGCTCGCTCGCAGACACTGCGCATTTTCTAATTAAAAACGCCAACGGCAATTGCCATTGGCCTGCGTACCCCAGGAGCAGCATCCTCATCGTCATTGCCATTTCCGTGTGGAATCAGCAAATGTCCCTGCTCCCTGCTCCTTGACCCCTCGCCCCCATTTTCCACCTCATTTCCTCGCGCGAACTCCGCCCCACCCCCCGGCGACAGCAGGAACTGCGGCTAATTGGCAACAAGACAAATCGGTGTGGCAATTTGCTGAGAATTATGCGACAAGATCAATTTGGCCAACGAATTGGTTGCGAATGGGGCAGGTTCAAGGTCTGCAATTGTTGTAAATTCTCACCCAAGATAAGACAAATTATATATATATAAATAAATAAAAAGAAAGCTGGTTAAATTGGGACGAAAAAAAGAGGCAAGATTCTAAGGTAAAAGCCATAACCGGTTTTATGGCATTTTCGGTTCACGCCTTTCGCGCTCACGTTGTGTGTGATTTGAAATTAATATAACTAAAAGGTTTTATGGTTTTATGGCGGCGCATTCAATCTTCGAGGTGTGTGTGCGTGTATATCTCACGGATACCTCTCGTGTTTCTATTTATGTTTCCTATTTTCTAGTTTTACAGTTCAACACCTTGAAAGTGTTCCGTCGATTTTCCCCAAAGAAAGTAATCTATTAAGCTATTATTAAGATGAATTCGAAATATTTCGGAGCATTAAATTATTCAGAGAACCCTTCCCCTTGCTTTAAATATGTTTTTCTAAACTATATTTCAATCCGTATTATAAAATGAAATTATTTTTAACAAACTAGCAACAAATTTTAACTTGTTTAAATATATAATTCTGTATGCAGATTTAATACTCTAATCATAACTAACACAGGGACCCTTTTCGAATTCAATTTGATTGTTTTTTGACTGAGTTATGCCAATTATAAACTATAATTATCATTCTAAAAATATCAATAAATAGTGGTTTAAAGTTTTATTACATTTTTCAAATTTACTAATTAAAAATTGAATGGAATTTCTAT